AGAGGGGACGTGAGAAATCACCCCTCAGGGAGGATGGCTACACCATAATCCCTTCTCTTCCATGATCTTTTACACTTCTGGGTATGAGACTTGAACTGCAGTTGGCCATGTCAGAATCCTGCACCTTAACTACCATGCTACATGTGGTTCCCCTTAAACACAACATTTTGACACAAGATAAACCATGGATGAACCCTGAAGACATATTAAATGCAATAAGCATAAGCCAGTCACAAAAAGACAAATACTGAATGATTCTGTTCACATGAGGTTTGTGGAGTAGTGGGGGGAAAAATAAAGGCAGAGTGGTGGGTGCTGGAGGAATGGGGTCTAGGTGCTTAATGGAACAAAGCTTGTTTTTTTGGTTTTTTTTTTGCTATAGAGCACGTGTGCTAGCTGGAGACCGACAGAGAGGGAAAGTGAAAAATCACTTTCCCTGGGCGGACAGCCACACCACAATCCCTTCTCCTCCATTTTCCTCTAGGGACTCTGCGGTGTGTGCGTACACACGCTTGGTCTGAGTTTCAAGCTTCAGGGCTCAGGACTTGAACTGGAGTGTCAGTCTTGTAGAATCCTGAGCCTTAGCCACCAAGTCACCTGCTGGCCCCAGAATTTCATTCTGAGAAGGTAAAAAAGTTCGGGAGGTGGAGGGTGGTGATGGCTGCACAACTGTGTAAATATACTTAACCTTAACACTACTAATCATATACTCAAAAATGGCTGAAACAGTACACTTTACGCCAAAAAGAACGGAGGCAGCAAACTTACATGCCAGGTGACTCTAAGATGAAGGAACTGTACTAACACAACGAACGCGTGGAGAACGGGAGCTGCAGACTGGGGGCCTGTGCGATGCCACCTGGCTTTAAATAGCAAGTGCCCAAGTGCCCGCCAGGGTGGGGGGCCGGGCCACCAGTGCAGCCAGGTGTGTGCACTCCGGGCTGCAGACGGTGGAAGGTGAGCAGCACCTTGGTTCTCCTCGCCTCACTCCTCACCCGTGACACGGGGAGACCAACGACTTGGGGCCAAGTTAGTGACGAGAGGCGCGCAGTCAGAGCTGGATCTGCAGAGAGGGTGCCATGGGCTCTGCAACTGCTCACTGCTCCGGAGCTCACCAAGCCTGCTACGTCTCCAGGGCTGGCCAACGCCATGTGAAGAAAGGGGAGGGGTGCTGTGCCGTGGTGGAACTTCGTGAGCTAGCATATGACCTGCTGGGATGGACCCCATGTCTGCATCCACTGCAAGTTCGTAAGTCAGAGTCCTAAAGTCCAGTGTGGCTGCATTCAGAAATGGGATTTTTAAAGAAGTAGCTAAGACTAAATGACAGCATGACAGGGCTTTGATCCCACAGGATTAGTGTCCTTACAAGAAAAGACAACAGGCAAGGGTCGGCCAGCAGGTGGCATGGTAGTTAAAGCACTGGATCCCATAGGGCCAACCCGGTGGTTTGATTCCTGGACTCGGCAGCTTAAGAAACATGCTTGGGGGGACCAGCAGTTAGCGTAATGGCTATGTCACTAAACTCCCATATAGTCGACCACAGTGTGAGTCCCGGACCCAGTGTCTTAAACTCACACCAGGCGCGTGTGCGTGCGTGCCCAAGATCCCGAGAGGAGAATGGAGAAGGGATTGCAGCATGGCCATACTCCCCGGCGGGGTGATTTCTCAATTTCTGTCTCTCTGCCTCTCTCTGTCTTTCTGGTGAGTTCACGCGCCCTATAGCAAAAACCTCTCAAAACAAAAACAAAAAACAAAACAAAACAAAAACATGTTTAGCATGTTCATGTGTGCCCCAATTCTGGAAAAGGATGGAGAAATGAAGAAGTGATTGTGGTGTGACCATTTCCCAATAAGGGGGTGCTTTCTCCCTTTCCTTCTATATCTGTCTCTTCTAGGGATGAGTTTGAGCCTCCTGGCAAAATTATAAAAATAAAAAATAAACAAAAGACAATGAAGAATTCTCTCTCTGTCCACTTTGTGAGGACAAAGTGAGAACATGGCCATTTGTAAGCCAGGAAAGAGTCTTTACCAGGAAGTGACCACGCTGACATCCTCATGTCAAACTTCCAGCCTCCAAAACTGTGAGAACACAAGTTTCAGTTGTTTGAGTTGCTGGTGGTGGCACTCTCTTATGGGAGCCTGAATAGACTAAGAGGGCTCCAAGCTCCCTGGTTTTCACGCTCTTGGTGGGTGGCCCAGAGCAGAGCCCCACCTGATCTCAGAGGGGTGGGGTTTGCAATCTAGCTTGTCTGTCACAGCAGCTAACCCAGCTCATTCTGACCAACACAGCACCCTGTACACCTGGGCTATAATCGTCAAATCAGAGTAGACAGTATTTCTTTTTCTTTTTTGAGAGGCTTTTGCTATAGGGCGCATGCGCTCGCTAGAAAGACAGAGAGAGACAGAAAGTGAGAAATCACCCCCAGAGGGATGGCCACATATGCACACGCACACAGTGTGAGTTTAAGCCACCAGGTCCGGGACTCGACCTGTGGAAGACTACATGGGAGTCCAGCGACATAGCCATTATGCCAACTGCTGGTCCCAGTAGACAGTATTTCATCTAATACACGTGCATTTAAAGGCATTGTTAAGTCTATCGAGTGCAGGTGGAAACAGGGCCTCAGAGAGCAGGCCCCATGCAGGTGCCAATGCACAAGACCTGAGGATGTCTGTATCCTCCACTCCATGGCTTTTCTCTTCCAGCAGCAACGCAAAACCAGTTTCCCTGCTATCTACACACAACTCTCCCAGTGGGGACTGGCTCCTCTGCCCTAGGGTGGCCACAACACTCCCAGGGGAGATTTGTCTGTGTCTGTGTGTCCTGAGTCACAGCAGCAAGACAAAGTCCACTTGCCTGGCCTAGCAAGATGACAACGTGCCCCTCCCTGACCACACTGGAAACCTGTCCTAAAAAGCTGGAACCCCAAAATACTCACACACATAGCAGACGACTCGATGACAGGAAGCAGCCCGTGAGCGCTGCTTACAGGGGACCCGACTCTTTGACGGGGCTGGAGCACGAGGCCTCTAGGCTGCCTCTCGCTCCCCCACCTGCCTGCAGAGCCTCCTGTACCATCTCCTGAGGGTGGCAACTGGGCAGAGTCCAGAGATTCACCTGTGATACTCGCACAGGACTGTGTGATGGCCCAGATTGACATCTGATCTGGATCAGAGTAAGATGGGCCACAAGTTTTTTTTTTTTCCTTTTGGAGAGGTTTTTGTTATAGGGCACGTGTGCTCGCCAGAAAAACAAAGAGAGACAGAGAGACAGAAAGCGAGAAATCACCCCCCAGGGGGGATGGCCACACCGCAATCCCTTCTCCATTCTCCTTTCGGGATCTTGGGCACACACGCACACGTGCCGACGTGTTTTAAGCCACTGGGTCCGGGACTCGAACTGCAGTCAACTACAAGGGAGTCCAGCGACATAACCATTACTCTAACTGCTGGTCCCATTGTTTGTTTTTAAGGTTTTTGTCATAGGGTGCGCACGCTGACCAGAGAGACAGTGAGAGGGAAAGTGAGAAATCACCCCCCCCCAAGGGGAATGGCCACTCCACAATCCCTTCTCCTTCTGTGATTTTGGGCACATGAGCACAAGTGCCCAGTGAGATCGTCAAGCTACCAGGTCCAAGACCTGAACCATGGTTGGCCATGTGGGAATCCAACACCCTAATGACTATGCCACCTTCTGGCCCAGGTCACAAGTATTTTTTTAAAGACTTATTTAACTTTATTTACTTATTTAAATTTGACCAGAGAGGGACAGAGTGAGAGAAAGAAAGTGAGAAAGCAAGTCACCAGGTTTGGGACTCAAACTGCGGTTGGACACATGGGAGTCCAGTGCCCTTAACCACGACCTGTAGGCCCCAAAGTCACAAATTTTAAAGCCACCCTGAGCAATGACAAAATGGGTGAGGGCATCTTGGGAATGGCCCACCAGAAGGAAAAGCATGCCACAGGAAGTACCCATGGCGTACACCCACTCAGAGGGCTTCCCAGTCGGGTGTACCCAGGCCCGCTACACACATGCTGTGTGGACTCACCTGCCATGCCACAGCCAGCTGGGAGATCTCACGGCCCGACATGCCCTCTGTCAGCTGAGCAATCTCTGAGCACTTCCTCCCGTAGTCAAACTGGGCCAGCTTCAAGCGCCTGGTGAGGGAGTTCCCAAGTGACACCCCGGCCTCGAGGTTGTGCAGGGCGGGGGCTGGGAGACAGGCAGCAAAGCAGCCACCACCTGCGCCAGATTGCACGGGCGCCCGACGGGGACCTTCTGAATGCCTCATGTGATGAGGTGACATGTGCCCACATCCCCACACCTCCTTCTTCCTACCCCCAGAGAGGGGCCTGGCAGGGAGGGGACAGTGAGTAGTGTGTCACTCATGCTTTGGGGGCTGCCGCACCTCAATGGGTCCCCACCTCCTACTCACCCCAGACCCTGCCCACCCAGTGCCCAAACAGCATGCAGCACTTAGACACTTGGCCAGCAATGAGCTGCTCACCAAGCAGGCGGGAACCCGAGGGAAGAAAAATGAGTGGCCCTGAGCTGACCAACGTGCTGCCCTCGTTTCCCGGACTTGATCGTTCCTAGCAGTTAGGGCTGACCGAGGCCAAAGGAACCATTCTCGAAAAGAGGTCACAGAAATCAGGTCGCAGGCGTGGGCGGCTAGGGGTATGACGGGCCAGCCCAGAGCAGGGAAGGGGGAAGAAGGAAACTGATGCCTAGAAACAAGGCTCAAGGGAAACAACAGGCCGCAACAGGGGGCAGCCATGTTCTTCTTGTAACAAAACAGCCTTTGTTGTCACCGGCAAGGGGAGAAGTGGCAGGAGGGATTTAGGTCAGGTACGTGGAAGGACTTGAAGTCTGAGTACTGTGAAACCAGGTTCCCCCGGAGGAGGTTAAAATAGAGCAGCCTCTGCTTATCTGGAGTGCTCTGGAACCGACAGGGAGGGGGACTGGAGGGACTGTCAGAAACCCATCACCTGGTGGGCTCTGCCTAGAAGTTTCTCGTTGCACCCACCACATGCCAATCACAGGAGTCTGACATCTCCAGGAAGGAGCTTGTGGGGCGGGTGCTTCAGTAGAGCAGCTCCCAGGAAGGCCTGGGAGCTGGTGGCTGGCTGGAGGCTGGCTGGGCTGTTTGGTTGGCAATGGGATGGTGGTGACCATTTCCCTCCAAGCCTGGCACTGGTGCCTCAAAGTCAAGCTCGGCCAATGTCGATGATTGGCCCTCACTATCCAGGGCCAGGACACAACAGGGACACAGGAATTCCGGTAACAGAAAAGGTCTGCACATGGGATGGGCTGCTGAATCCACACCTTGGCTGAGAAGCCCACGGGCCATCCTAAGATGGAGAGTGGGGGCAGGGGAAGGGCAACAGGCCTCCTGCCATAGAGCTCTCTCTCAGCCCAGAGCAGCTGAGCAAAGGGTGCTTAGTCTGAATGCCAGCCCACACAAACACCCACATAAAACCACAGGGGAGCACCCCAACTTAGAGGGGGCCTGGTGAAATACTTGGAAAAAGAAAGGACTCAGGGTGGCCTCTGACGACATGACAGGGCAGGGGTGGGCCATGCAGGGATGGGGACACTTACTGCTTTCCTTCTGTGGCCGGCTTAAGAACATACTTGTCAAAATACATTCTCACCAGGCGCTCCCGCTCCTCCCGCCGTGGCAGGTCGAAGCTGACCATCTCATCGATGCGGTCATTGATGGCCCAGTCAAACTGCTCAGGCTGGTTACTGGCCAGGACCAGCATAAACCTGGAGCCCACAAAGCACACAGTGAGGGGTTGTACACCCACACAGGCCTCCAAAGCAAAGGGGCTTAGAGAAACTTTCTACAAGAGTCTAATCTGGGGCTGGCAGGTGGCATGGTGGTTAAGGGTGCTGGACTCCCATATGGCTGACCATGGTTCAAGTCCCAGTCCTGGTGACTTGCTTTCTCACTCCCCCACTCTGTCCTTCTCTAGTCAGATTAAAATAAATAAATTTATAGAAGATAAATAATTCTTTTTTAAGAATTATTTTATTAACTTTATTTATTTTAATCTGACTAGAGAAGGACAGAGTGGGGGAGTGAGAAAGCAAGTCACCAGGACTGGGACTCGAACCGTGGTCAGCGCCTTAACCACCATGCCACTCTCCAGCCCCAATAAAAAACTTTAAAAAAAAAAAAAAAAAAGAGTCTAGTCTGGCAGCTTTGAAACCCAGAAAGTCCCAGCCACGACCTTTACCATGTTCCTTCCCTCCCTCCAAGGGTATCCATGTCCTCATTTGAGGGTCCTCGGGCACTCAGCTTCCCAAGGATCTGTTCTAGCCCCACTTTTCCTGTTCACTGGCCTGTGGCCCAGCTTGATGGGGCAGGGTGAGCAGCAACACTCCCTCTTCAAAACTAAGCCTCGCTGCACTCAGAGGATGGACAAGGGTTGCCAGGGTCTGGGATAGAGACCTGCCCATACCAGGCGCCATCATGGGACCTGGGACTTAGCTGAGCAGAGGCATCAGTTTGGCTTAGTAGTGTCCTAACCCTGCTTTCCTGAGGGCTTGGTCAGGCCCAAGAGCATCTCTGTAGGAGCAGCTATAGCCAGCGACAGGGACCCATCTGAGCAGATGGCCACCCACTGACCAGCAGGGCTTGGTCCTCCCTCAGTGACATGTGGGCTAGAGACTGGAGGGGCCCAGCCAATGCAGACAAGATTAGGGGATTTGGAAGGGACCTACAGACTGGCCAAGGGCGCCCAGAGACGGTTAGTCTCTGGGTGCCTGACCCTGGACAGCGTCCAGTAGATGGTTATAGGTGACCCACACGCACCACATAGGGCCTGCCTGTGCACTGGCTTCCTGGTGATAGCAAATATGCTTTGATTTCATGTCCCAAGCCCAGCTGGCGTCTGAGGCATTGGGAGGTCCTCAGCCACTCAGGCTACCTCTCTCATAGGTAGGTGGCTTGATGGCCAGAAGCAAAGGGCAGGAGGGGAGGCTAGAGGTGGGGGTGGCTGCACAAAGGCCCTGTCTGAAAGGAAGGCTCGCAGGGCTGTGTGGGCCAGGACTAACTGCCCGGCTGTCGGGGAATCCCAGCATGTTTCTCAGTGACATCTCGCTGTGCCTTTTGAGCTGGGCCCTCAAAATCTGTCCCAGTAGAGATGTCTGCCCAGGTACCGTGTACTAGGCCCCTGACCCTGCTCCATGACAGCTCCAGTGTGTGCGCACTCTGCAGTGCCTCAGTTTCCCTTCGAGGCCCAAGCCCATGAGACCCAGGGCTACCCTTACTTGCTGCTGTGCTGGCCCGTCCTGTGTAGGAACGCATTCAGGGTAGCCCTGAGGTCTTCACTTATCTTCTCCTGAAAAGGAACATTCTAGTGTCAGCCATAAGCAGCGAGCCGAGGAGCAGTTCTGCAGACAGTCAAGAGCCAAAAGGAGAACCCAGAAAGGCCACTACTCAACAGGCCTCTCCCCTGCAGCTGCTGCTCAGGGGCAGTAATGTGAACAATTTCATGGAGAAAACTTGGAAGCTGAAACTGAACTTCAAGCAGACTCTAAAATGTGTTACAGACCAGGCTTTATACAGAAAGGTCAACTCCCACACCAGTCCAGGATGGTGGGATGGTGGTCTGGCCCTTCCATGCTCAGGACAGGCTCTGAGCCACTAGAGTGCCTGCCCTGACCACTCTGATATGGCTGGGCAGGGGCTTCCAGAGAATACTCACTGTCGCTCGCTTCCTGAGGAAGGCATCTGCTTCATCCACGAAGAGTAGAAGGCTGTGAACAAGAGGAGCCAGTGAGGGAAATGTCTGAGCACAACAGGCATCTGGAAGTTTCTAGAAGCTGGCTGTGTTGGTCAGATCCCCAGGGAGAAGCTGTCCACAGAGCACAGACTCTACCCTATTGGGAATCCTAACACAATGAACCCACAGACACCAAACCTCATGGTTTGGAGAAACCAAGTCACACTCTGCCCCAGTGATCTGGGGGAACCCAGACCACAGTGGCCAAGGAGGCACATGTCAAGAGAGATCGTGCTCCTGTCTCCAATGGGTTTTATCCAAATCCTCCCAGGCCCAGAGAAACATGAGGCTGGCAGCTATGCAATCAACACCAAGGAAAGGAGTCTTGGAGAGCAAAAGAACAGGGCCAGAGGGAGAGCACCAACCATAAAGAATGCAGGGCCACCGGGGGCAGCTGTCTGTGAGGCTGGGTCTGCCAAGCAGCAGTACAGGGTCACAATGTCCTCGATTAACATTTTTTTAAGTTCTATTTTCTCTTTTAGAATTACTTTATTTAACTTTATTTATTTATTTATTTATTTATTTCACCAGACAGGGACAGAGCGATTGAGAGGGAGAGAGAGGGAAAGCAAGAAGGCAAGTCGCCAGGTCTGAGATTCAAACCATGGTCGGCCATGTGGGAGTCTAGTGCCCTTAACTACCATGCCACATGCCGGCTTCCTCAATTAACTTTCTTTTTTTAAAGGATTATTTATTTAACATACCTATGTACATACGTGTGTGTGTGTGTGTGTGTGTGTACACTTATTTATTTTAATTTGACCAGAGAGGGACAGAGAGGGAGTAGGAGGGAGGGAAAGTGAGAAAGTAGGCTGCCAGGTCCGGGACTCAAACTGTGATCAGTTGTGTGGGAGTCCAGCGCCCCTAACCACCACACCACTGCCGCCGGCCCCAAGAAATCGCCCCCAGGGAGTATGGCCATGCTGCACTCCCATCTCCTCTCAGGATTTTGGGCACACATGCTCACACACCCAGCTTGAGTTTTAAGCCACCAGGTCCAGGACTTGAACTGTGGTTGACTTTGTGGGAGTCCAGTGATGTAACCATTCTGCCATATGCTGGTCCCCTCAATTAACTTTTTAAAAAATAATTATTTTGGGAACCAGCAGTTAGCGTAATGGCTATGTCGCTGGACTCCCACATAGTCGACCGCGGCTCACATCCCGGCCCCGGTGGCTTAAAACTCACGCCGGGCACGTGTGCGTGTGTGCCCACGATCCCGAGAGGAGAATGGAGGAGAAGGGATTGGGGCGTGACCATCCCCCCTGGGGGGGTGATTTCTTGCTTTCTGTCTCTATGTCTCTGTCTGGCGAGCGCATGCACCCTATAGCAAAAATCTCTCCAAAAAAAAAAAAAAAAAAAAAAACTTTATTTGTTTTTAATTTGACCAGATAGGGGCAGGGTGAGTGAGAGGGGCAGGGGAGTGAGAAAGCAAGCTGGCAGGTCCGGGACTTGATCTGAGGTCCACCATGTGGGAGTCCAGCACCCTTAACCACCACATCATCTGCTGGCCCTGTCCCTCAATTAATTTTTAAAAGTATCACCGAGGAGCATGTCCACCCACCCACACATGGGTGTGTGCACATACTGGGAGGGGCTGGACTTGATCTGCTGAGAAGACCCCCTTCCCCATTCATACCCACCACTCATGTCTGGCACTAAATTAAATACCAACAGGCAGCCCTCACACTGACCACCTGTGGCCCACACAAAGGTGAGTTCCTCTTTGGTGCCCCCCTGCCCTGGGGTGCTGTCAGAGGGTGGAAGACAAAATACAGGGAACAGCAGGTCTCAGTAAGCCATTTAGACCCCTCTCAGGGAGGTAGCCCGGTGTTTGCAAGAAACTGGGGTCGGTGGGTGTGGGAGAGGGGGAAGTGAGGGACACTCACCCTCGTCGGCTGGTGTTGGCCCAGTCGAAGACCTTGTGCATGGCAGTTACCCCATCCCGCCCCATGGGGGCCACGTCTCCACCAGTCATGATGGCGTAGTCCATGCCTGAGTGCAGGGCAAGTTTCTAGGAAGGAAGGGATGGGGGAGACAATAAATGGTGCCTCCTCACTCTGGAGCCTACCCCACCCGGCATGGACATGGTCCCCCTTATACCTGCTCTGCCACAGAGATGCTCCCCCACCTGGGAGAGCGGAGGCACTACCCAAGCACACCAGTACTGGGTCCAGTGAGGGCTGGCGATGGCCCAATAAAGGTCCATTCCTGGGAGTTGATGCTGCGACCCCACCCAAGATAACTGCGCAGACCAAGGAGACTGATCACTAGGCCCTCCAACCCAGCAGCGCTCTCACCTTGGCAAAAAGGGTCTTGCCGGTACCCGGCGGCCCATACATCAGGATGTTCCTATACAGGCTCTTGTTCTTCTTGGTGTTCCTTGTGGCTATTGCAATGTCACGCACTCGTGCTTCCAGGCTGGGCTGCGGCAAGAAGGAGCTGGTTTGAGAGTCATGCACCTCCACCTGCAGACAGCCTCAAAGGCGGGGAGCCCAGACGGTGCCCTGCTATGGTCTATTCCTTGCGGAAGCCTGAGCCAGCTCAAGGTAGTTTAATCCAGGCTGGTCTGAGAGGGCCCGCTTTATCTCTGGAGCCAGAACTGCCCCAGCTTTCAGTCTGAAGACCCACACGGACATGGAACAGCTCAGAGTGGATGTCCCTTGCCTGAGCCACATGAAGCCTGCCCACACCCTGACTGCCACACCAACTTACACTAAGGATGACACCCTCCAACGCATCCTGGGGTCTGCTGAGGAGCCGCTGGCCAACCTGTGGGAAGAGTTACCACTGGGGTTGTGGGCAGAGCAGAGAGATAGTAACTGCCACGGGCACGGCCGGGTCCCAACCTCAAGGGCTGAAAAACTAGCCGCCCTGGCAGATGTGGTTCTCTGTTGCTGGTCAAGATTTATTCGTTCTTTATCAACCTTTACTTTATCAGCCATCCATGCTGAGTGACTGGTGGAGACCAAGCCACAGTGCGTGTGGGGAACAGGTTCCAACACTGCGTGAGAAGTTGGGCTCTCCTATAAAAGCAGCCAGCTGCCGTCTGGCAAGCCCTCCAACAGAATACTGGCACACTGGAGCCCCAGCATTTCCACAGGACCCCATGTGCACAAGCGGCCAGTTCCATCAGAGAACCTAGAGGTGGTGGAGACCTCCCCAGCACTGATACAGAAAGCAAAAATAAAACCAAATGCAGGAGGAAATGGACATTATTTATATAAGAGAAAGAGAACGCTTATTTGTAATTTGCCTGCAACATAGAAAGGACACATGGAGGGCTCGATCAAGGAACACGGTCCCTTCCTGCGCTATTACCTGGATGGGGTGCCTCAGCGCCTCCAGCACTGTGATACGAGACGTCTCCCTCACGAGGGATGGCTTCCCCAGTCGGGCCTCAATGTACCGGCCAGCGACGGCTGTGGCATTCTTGGCAGAATAGACCCCAATAGCCAGCAACGTCAATCCAGCCACCTGGAGCAGAGAGATAGCAGGTGACACACCTGTAGCCAACAGGGAGGCCCACAGCCACCTGCCAGGCCCACCGGGCACACATGGTGTCTACCGTGGCTGTCACTTTGTCCCAGTCTGTCACAAAGGCACGGAATCCCTCGCCAAACAGGGTGCCAGCCGTCCTGTAGAGGGGGTGGGGAAGCAGCCACATGACCAGGTGGGACACGGGGACCCGTGCACATGGCTGGAGAAGGTGAAGGCGAGGCCCAAATGCCGCATCCCAGGCGCCGAGACATCAGCCCCAAAGGTTGGCACAGAGCTACCCAGTCACAGAAGGGGCTGGAGAACATCCGATGATCAGCAGCTCACAACAGCGAGGGCTCCCTCTGGGGCTACTGAAGATGGGGACGAACGGTGGGCACTGGGCCTTAGCTGTGCCCTCACCTGATGGATTCCAGGATGGTCTGGCGGTGCTCAGCAGCCTTCAGGCGGATCTGTTCACGGATAATGTCCGCATTCTCCCGTTCGGCCTTGGCCCGGGCTTGAGCCTCGGCCTCCACCCGCAGCATCTCATTCTTATGTCGTAGCTCCATCTCTCGCTCCACAGTGGCTGACCCAGGAAGAGACAAGGACAGTGAGGCTCAGCACGTGGCCATGCCTGCCCCTCTGCTCAAACAGGACGTGAGCGAATGCAGATCTCAGCATCACACAGGCCAGTCACAGTGCTGAGCATCCCAGCCAGGAAATCTTTCCCCTGGGGCTGGAACCCCCAGGAGACGAAGGAACTCTGAAATCTGACCCTCTGACCCAGGCAACTCTCTCCAGGATATGTTTTAAAAACAAAATAAAATGTAGAGAATTAAAAAGGAAGCCACTTATCTTGAAACACAGCAATCAAAATACTAGGAAAGTGGGACCAGCAGTTAGCGTAATGGCTATGTCGCTGGACTCCCACATAGTCGACGCAGTTCGAGTCCCGGACGTGGTGGCTTAAACTCACGCCGGGCACGTGTGCGTGCGTGCCCAAGAGCCCGAGAGGAGAATGGAGGAGAAGGGATTGCGGCATGGCCATCCCCTCTGGAAGGGTGATTTCTCGCTTTCTGTCTCTCTCTGTCTGTCTGGCGAACGCACGAGCCCTATAGTAAAAACCTCTCAAAAAAAAAAACTAGGAAAGTGGGCCAGCTCTGTGGCCTAGTGGTTAAGGCAACCATATCCTACATGGCTGAGTCCATGGATCAAGTCCTAGACCAGGTAGCTTGAGAAACACAATGAGCACATGTGTGCGTATGCCCAAAACTTCAAAAGGAAGGATAGATGGGGAAGGGGTTACAGTGTGAGCAGGTCACATGGGGGTGCTTTCTCCTCTGCCTCTCTGGAGAACACACATGCCTTCTGACCAACAACAACAAAAAAAATGGGCCGGCAGATGACTCGGTGGTTAAAGGTGCTGGATTCCCACAGGGGTGACTATGGTTCGAATCCTGAACCTAGTGGCTTGCTTTCTCACTTTCTCTCTCTCCCTCTGGTCAAATTAAAATTAAAAAGTGTATAAATAAATAAAGTTAAATAAAATAATTCTTTTTTTTTTTTTTTGGAGAGGTTTTCACTATAGGGTGCGTGCACTCACCAGACAGACAGAGAGAGACAGAGAGACAAAAAGCGAGAAATCATCCCCCAGAGGGGATGGTCACGCCGCAATCCCTTCTCCTCCATTCTCCTCTCAGGATCTTGGGTACACACGCACATGCACCCGGCGTGAGTTCTAAGCCACAGGGTCCAGGACGCGAACAGCGGTCAACTACGTGGGAGTCCAGCGACATAGCCATTACGCTAACTGCTGGTTCCCAAATAAAATAATTCTTAAAAAAACAAAACAAACAAAAAACTACTAGGAAAGCATGTAACGTAACACTGTTGACCTATTTAAAAGCAAACATCTGGGAACGAGCCCAGCACCATCATAAAGTGGTGCCAAATGTTTACTTCCTTCCCTTTCCAACACGATGAGCACAAAATGCTCGTGTTTTCTACCAAGACACACACGTGAAACTAACGTCACAGCCTGTGCTTGTAACTGAAGCTCTACGACAGGACAGCGAAAACACAGGATCTTCCCACCTCCGTACACCAGCCCAGGACCCGCTGCAGACACCTGTGGGGTGCCTTTTGTGGCTATCAGTAACTCTTCTTGGGTAGTGAGGTGCCCAAAGCAGCCCTTCCTCACAACAGCACTGCTCACCCAGGAGTCATCTACCAGCAGGCCTCGGTGCAGCACATCTGCCTCAGACCGCCACCCTCGACTGAGGTGACAGCTTACCTCGTCGCATGGCCTCCTGCTTCTGTACAGACTCCTCCTGCTTCCGTAAATTTTCTTCATTGAGAAGTTGCTAAAAAGCCACAGAAAAAAAGGAAAAGCTTTCAAAATCAGAAAAATAATCAATGCGACCCAAGAAGCTGTGGCTGCACCAAGCTAGGGAAGCCTATGCCTACCTCTGAGGGGCCTGTGGGCTCCACACTCCGACCAGGCACATTGGAAATCAGCCCCAGGATGTGCACACCCTAAGGGGGCTCAGCCACCCTCCACCCTCGTTGGGCCAGAAGTGGTCTCTACAGCAGCTTCATCAGTGTGGATCACGGCAAAGCAGCCCTCTGGGTGCCCTCACTCTTGGCTGTTTTTAGAAAAGACTCTGGGTTTCGCCTAGTAAAAGCTATAATGCCCACAACAGGCAAGAACATTTGCAAATACTGTATGAATTTGAGACTGAGATTGATAAGTCCTTACTAGCAGGGAGCGAGAATGTCAAGGAAGGGAGAATGTCACCCAGGCTTTTAGAAGTGACTGGGGAACCTGCCCTCAGTCGATCACCAACTTTCCCAAACACGACTTCACTAAGTCGGCAGTCAGGTTCACCAGGGAAAGGTGCTCATCTGGTGAGGAACCTCAGAGTGGCTGGAGAATCTGCCTCTGTTGTGCCGGTCACACAGGTCCATCACACATACCTGTACCTGCCTGTGTACAACTGAGTGCTCACGGACAAGTCTCTGTGCCTAAATGCGCGACTGTGTGCCCTGTGTGTCTGTGTCCGAGTACAGTCCCCGGGCTCCAGTATCTACCATTAGTAAAATGAACCAAGTGCCCTTCTGCTGTGGACTCTGGCCCACCAACCAGTCCAGCAATACGCCATATCCTTGGGGAGGACTGAGGCTGGTACCACCTCTGGGGGTGGGGCACCTCACTCACCTGTTGCTTCAGCTGGTCCTCATAGCGCTGCCGAGCCAGCTTGTCCTGGTACTGTGCTCTCTAGAATGGAAAGGACACGCTCAGCTAGAGAAGCCAGACTAAGACTGGACTGGGTGCAGGGACCCCCAAGAAGCCACCCACCTCCCATAAACATGAGGATGCACAGGGCACTCGGTGCTGAGAGATCTGTGGGGTTTAGGGGTCTCTAAGAGAGAGTTCCAGAGCCTGGTCTAACAGTCGACACCCCCATGGATCCATAGTCAGTAACAAAGAGATCCAGAGCTGCACCCCACCCTGGCCTCCCTGGGCCCTTACAGCCTGGTGTTGCCGGGTCTCCTCACTCAGGGTTTTTCTCTTTTCCTCTGCCTGCACACGGATCTGCTCGTTCTTCAGCTGCTCCACCGCGGCCTCATATTCCTATAGAACATACACTCAGGACTTCCACTCTCAGGGTCATGCTGCCTCCACAGCCCTTCCCCAAGGACAGCATGTGCTCCGAGGCGGTGGCATCACAGGTCACATCTAGACTGGTCTGGAAATGCAGCCTGGATTGACACCCCTACCCCACATACGGACTCAGCTCTCAGCTGTACCCAACCCAAGGGTAAGGCCCAGGAAAGGCCTGGGAAAGACACTGAGGGAATGAAACAAGACAGAGGACAGTCATCTCTTGTGGGCATTTGGCATTTCTTTTCCAAAGGCTCTTTCACAGGCTTGTGTTACATGCTCACTTTTTAGAAATGTTACTTATTAATTCTTTTTTACGATAGATTTTTGCTTTAGGGAACATGTGCTTGCTGGTGAGACCAAGAGTGAGAAATCACCCCCAGGGGGGATGACCATGCCACATTCCCTTCTTTTCCAGTCTCCTCTTGGGATTTTGGGCATGTACGTGCACACACACCCAACGTGAGTTTTAAGTCACCTGGTTTGGGACTCAAACCACAGTCGATTACATGGGAGTCCAGCAACGTAATCATTATGCCATCTGCTGGTCCCGAATTTTTTTTCAAGATAGGGCCTCACCATGTTGTGATTCTCCAGTCTCAGCTTCCCGATGGGACCACAGTGGTGGCACGTATCACCACGCTTGGCTCTTTATTAGACAGGACCTCCCAATGTTGCCTGGACCTGCCTTGAGCTTGCAACCCTCCTGCCGCAGACTCCCCAAATAGGTGCATTACACTGAGCAGGTCCAGCACTTCAACAGGATGAAAACTGAGCTCAGAACTCCCATTTGTCCCAGACTGTGGAACAGTGTTTTAGCAGCGTGGGCCACTGTGGCTGGGCCACGTCCTTACTTTTTAACTAAGCCAAAGCCGAGGCAGACCCTATGCTCACCACACACTCCAGTATCAAAAGTCTTGCCCAGTGCAGAGAACTGAGGTAAAAATCTTGAGAAGATCTTCATCCTTGGAAAGACCAGATGGTCCTCACCTACACCTGACCTTCCAGGTGGCTCTGCTGTAGGGCCTCAGCCACATGCCCAGGCCACATCCCCTGCTTCTTTCTGTGGAGAGCTGCCCAGCTTGTGTACACCACCCCCGGCCCTCCCCTGTGGCACCAGTCTGCCACTCACTTTAAGCTTGGACTGTTGCTCCAGCTGCAGGGTCTGCTCCTGCATCTGTGCGAGATTCAGTGCCTCCTTGGCGTGGCCTGCAGGGGAGCAAGAGAGAAGGCATTAGGAGACCCAGGCACTCCTGCAGCTAATCCAGTGAATGCTCGCATGTGCCAAGGGGTTCTCTAGGAAAGCTCAACCTCAAAGTTTTCATGCCACCTCCTAGCCCTGCCTCACTTGCCCATCTTCATTTCTGGTTAAACCTTGCCTCATGATGCCTCACTCCAAAGGCCGTTGCCAAACTCAACAAAAATCCTGGCACACATGTGGAGGTCTCACCCCACCATCACATTTTGGGGAGCTCCATCGAAAGGCCACCCACAATCACTGAGGGGAGAAGATAGCATCAACATGGTGGTCTTCTCTTGATAAAAGCAAGGTGATGGCCACATTCTTTATTTTTCAGGGTACATATATTTTTCTTAAGCTTCCAAAACCTATTTTCATTGCTATTAAGTACATGCAGATAGGGACCAACAGATGGCAAAATGGTTACTTCACTGGACTCTCAGTGGTTCGAGTCCCGTACCAGGTGGCTTAAAACTCAAGCTGGGTGCAGATGTGTGTGTGCCCAAAGTCCCAAGAGGAGAATGGAGGAGAAGAGACTGCAGCATGGCCATTCCGTCCCCCGAGCAAACATGCCCAATTGAAAAAAAAAATCTCTCTACAAAAAAAAGAGCACACAGATAAAAACTAGGAAGGAATAAGAAGGAAATGAAAGTTAAACCAGATATGGGGCCAGCAAGTGGCATGGTGGTTAAGGGCGCTGGACTCCCACATGGCCGACTGTAGTTCAAGTCCAGGACCTGGTGGCTTGCTTTCTCACTTTCCCTCTCTTTCTCTCACTATGTCCTTTCTTCTTCTTCTTCTTCTTTTTTTTTTTTTTTATTATTTATTTATTCATTCCTTTATTGACCAGAGAGAGTCACACAAAGAGAGAGAGAGAGGGAAGGTGAGAAAGCAAGCCACCAGGTCTAGGACTTGAACCACGGTAGGCCATGTGGGAGTATCCAGCACCTTAACCACCATGCCACCTGCTGGTCCCTCACTATGTCCTTTCTGGTCAAATTTAAATAAACAGATAGATCGATAAATAAAGTTAAATAAAATAATTCTCTTTTTTGGGGGGAGAGATTTTTGCTATAGGGTGCATGTTATATAGAAAGACAGAGAGAGACAGAGAGACAGAAAACAAAAAATCACCCCCTGGGGAGATGGCCATGCTGCAATCCCTTCTCCTCCATTCTCCTCTTGGGATCTTGTGCATGCACGCACATACACCTAGCATGAGTTTAAGCCGCAGGTCCGGGACATGAAACGTGATCAACTACATGGGAGTCCAGCAACGTATCCATTACGTCATCTAGTGGTCCCAATAATTCTTAAAAAAAAAAAAAAAGGAAAGTTAAACCAGATACAAACCAATGAACTGAGGATTAGTGTAATAAATATCTTCTGTGTATATTTTGTTCATAGGTTGGAACTGAAAACTCTTAATATTTAGATATTATGGAAAAACTTGACTTCCTGTATTTTCCTAGCTGAAGAAGCCCAAGTATCCATTCTTGAAGTTTTCTATGATGACATGGTTTCCCCATTCACAAAATTTACTACAATAATCTGACACTGGGCCAGCCATGTGTTGTGGTGGTTAAGGCGGCTAGATCCTACATGGCCAACTCTGTGTGTGGTTCCAGTCTTAGATCCAGCAGCTTGAAAATCACTCTAGGTGCCAATTGCCCCCAGGGAGGATGGTCACGCTGCAATCCCTTCTCCTCCATTCTCCTCTCAGGATCTTGGGCACGCACACACACGCACCCAGCGTGAGTTTAAGTCACCGGGTCCGGGACTCAAACCATGGTCGACTACATGGGAGTCAAGCGACATAGCCATTACACTAACTGCTGGTCCCAATTATTATTATTTTTGTAATAATTGTTTCTATTGGGGCCAGCAGGTGGCGTGGTGGTTAAGGATGCTGGACTCCCACAGGGCCGACCATGGTTCGCGTCCCAGACCTGGCAGTTAGCGTTCTCACTTTTCCTCCCTCTCTCACTCTGTCCCTCTTTGGTCAAATTTTTATAAATAAATAAATAAAGGTAAATAAAATTAATCTTAAAAAATTGTTTTTATTTTATTATCATTATTTTTCAATTTTGACCAGAGAACTAGAGTGCAAACCACCAGATCCAGAACTCGAACCACGGTTGGCCACGGGAGTGGGAGTCCAGGAGCTCGTGGGAGTCCAGCACCTTTAACTACCACAGCACCTGCTAGCCCCTCTTAAATTTTTGTTTAAATTATGTCAGCAGGCATAAGTCCTCACCAGAGCTGCCTTACTTTTTCAAGCTTCCAGAATAAGATACAGATAGACCTCAGTACATGCCATTCCCCAAACCACAGCAGACATGTCACTAACTAGAGCTCGACATCTGTTAACAGTTCAGATCTTTTTCTTTCTTGGAGGCAAAACTGATGCAAGATGAGATACTGCAAAAGCATGTCCCACACACTTAGGCAGAGGAGAGGAAGCTGTTGCAGCCGGGATTTGTCTGTTCAGGGAGTGCAGTATGGCATGAACTCAGCTAACAGGCCGAGCCAGAGCTTGGGAAGGACCTTGGGAGCCAACCCCTGGAATTCCATGCACAAAGCTCACCTCTGGGCCTCCAGTGAGGGGAGGCACAGATCGTGTAGGACCTGCCTCTCATGAGAGGCCCCATGAAAGCAGGTGTCTATCGGGTCAATACGGGAGCTCAGACAGCCAGGACATCAAATGCTGAGCAGATTGAGTAAGGACTCTACATTGGCCAGGAAGGGCAGCAGATAGGAACAAAAGCACCACAGTCTAACCACACTGGGACCAAATCTCAGCTGTCCTATTTCCTCACAAGGTGACCTTTGGCATACTAAATTAATCTCTCTGAGATTGTTTCCCCTCCTGAAAATTGAGCAATTCTAGTTCCCTCCCCCACGTCTCTAGGAAAATGAAATGAGATAAAGCAGGTAAATTTCAACAGAGTTGTACCCATATGACTCCAACTAGATTATATGTTATGACTTTACTGCGAACAATAACTCATTATTACCCCATACCAGAAGACTTGCACCCTAAAGCGTTAAATAAGCACCTGCTATATGCAAGGTGCTCTTTTAGGTGCCCTCCTCCATGGTATACACGTGCAAGTAGCCTGGAGCACGTAGACAGCTGTGGGACAAGTGTGCTACTCTGGTTTCCAAGGAGGTGCCCAGGGGAAGACTCTAAGAATAACCTGGGGGCTGGGACTTGAGGGACAGAGGAGGTGGTCAATTGTGAGGAGTGGCTGCTGAGAACAGCTCCAATGTCTAATGAGGACAGCTTAGAAAAGCAACAAGGCCAAATCACACAGACTGCAGGAAGTTCATGAACTGGGAGAGGACAGGCTTGCAGGTGGGATATCAGGCAGAACGGCATGAGGCACTCTGGGAAAAAGGGTTTGAGTTTAGGGATAGTATTAGGGTTAGCGTTAGAGAAGAGCGGAAGACTAAAGAGAACCTTCTCTCACCAACCAGCAGTAAACAGGAAGAATAGCAGAAATAAAGGCCAGTCCACACCTGGGACAGAATCTGTGGAGACTGATGGGGTGGAGGGATTAGGCTTCCAGACCACTGCATCCTGGGAATACTGCAGAAGACCTGGCTTGGCCGAGAAACGAGGGCTCAGACAGAGAGTAAACGCCAAGGCACTGAGGACCCAGGCAGAGAATATTCCAGAGCAGGAAGTCGGAAGCAGTCGGTACCGGGGAGCAATTCAGAGGCTTGGGTAGACAGGATGGTGAGGAGGTTTCCTTAGCTACTTGCCTAAGGCACACTCAAGGCTATTCACACAGACCTGTGTAACCGCACAGGGTTGAAGGAAGGGCACTTACAGTCAAGATTCAGCTTCCAGCACCAGCCAACAGTGTGGTGGTTAAGGTGTCTAGATCCCACATGGTCAACTTTGTAGTTCCAGTCCTGGAACTGGCAGCTTCAAAAACATTCCAGGAATGTGTGTGTATGTGTATGTGTGCCCAAAAATTCTGAGAAAATATGGACGAGGAGGGATTGAGGTATGGCCATCCCCTAGGGGGAGAGGGAATTTCTCAGTTCCCATCTCTCTCTAGCAAGCACACGTGCCCTTCAACAGAACAAAATATGCTTCCAAAAGTGGGAGAACTTTGTGGGCATGACTAAGAGGTAAAACTTCCCGTGAGGTGGAAAGAAGTGTCCCCTTAGCTAAGCCTATTAACAGGAAATTGTGTCTTCTGTCAAAGATTGCTACTGTTTGAGGCGCCTTGAAATTCAGCTAAGTCTACTGAGACACATTGCCTTGAGCACAAATCTGAATTTAAAACTTTTTTTTAATTACCAGTCTGTACACTCTCCAGTGAAACAGACAGAGAGAGAGAGAAAGCACCTCTCCCTCAATGGGGGTGGTCAGGCCACCGTCCCTTCTGCTCCATTTCTCTATGCTGTCAGTCCTGTGGGATCAGGCTCCCTTAATACCTAAGCTCCAGAGCTGGACTCAAAGCTGAACATTTTGAAGAGTCAGCCAGGCTGAGACCATTGCCCAGAATGTTCTTGCAGTCCTCTGGGAAAGAACAGGGTATTGAGCCAAATGCCACGCTCTCCTTCTCAAACATGAAATGAAGACTCTGCTTACACAGGCTTCAAACCAAAGCTTCCCTCTGGCACCTTCTTTGAAAAAAGGGAGCCCCTGCTCAAACAAAAGTTTTGAGAACAAATGTTTTGAACATTCTTTCAATGACTGTTTATTCAGCATCTTCTTCATTCCAAGCTCTTGAACACTTGCACTGTACCTTAATAAAAGTCATAAAAGCCACAAGAGTACGGAAAGTTGGGAGAAGAGACTTGGACTTAGGGAGATCACCGCTGACACCTCGAGGGCCTTGGGTCAGGAAGGTCATTGAGCTGGGCCAGCAGGCCCAACCTGTGGCTTTACAGCCTCCCGCCTACCTGAATGTTAACATTTTTCCAATAATAAGTACAACTCTATCATATGCCCTTAAAACGAAATGACTCTTGTCAACAGAAATAAACAACATTGCAGAAATAATAATTAATACAATCTATTACTAAGCATGTGACTGAGTATCCTGGCGGATACTGAGATACAATGGTTCATTTTACTCAGTTCTGATAGCAGGAGGGTTGTCAATCAGCACGAGTCTTTCACATTGGCCCAGCCAAAAAGTGAGACATTAGAAATGGAAGACTGTAGGTTATAGGTAAGTTTGAAATTCTTTTTTTTGGAGAGGCTTTTTGCTATAGGGCACATGTGCTCGCCAGAAAGAGAGAGACAGAGAGACAGAGAGACAGAAAGCGAGAAATCACCCCCCAGGGGGGATGGCCATGCTGCAATCCCTTCTCCATTCTCCTCTTGGGATCTTGGGCGCGCCCACACACGCGCCCAGCGTGAGTTTAAGCCACTGGGTCCGGAGACTAGAACTGCGAATGGCTACATGGGAGTCCAGCAACATAGCCATTACACTAACTGCTGGTCCCAAGTTTGAAATTCTTCAATTAATAATTGATTTGTGGGGACCAGCAGTTGGTGTAATGGCTATGTCGCTGGACTCCCATGTAGTTGACTATAGTTTGAGTCCCGGACCTGGTGGCTTAAACTCATGCTGGGTGCGTGTGTGTGCGTGCCCAAGATCCTGAGAGGAGAATGGAGGAGAAGGGATTGCGGCGTGGCCATCCCTCCTGGGGGGTGACTTCTCGCTTTCTATCTCTCTGTCTCTCTCTTTCTGTTGAGCACATGCGCCCTATAGCAAAAAGCCTCTCCAAAACAAACAAAAAAGCAATAATAATTTATTTGTGACCAGCAGATGGCATAATGGTTTCATCACTGGACTCCCACATATAGACTACGGTTCTAGTCCTGGAGCCAGCGGCTTAAAACTTAAAACTCACGCTGGGTGTGTGTGCATGCATGCGCAAGATCCTGAGAGGACAATGGAGAAGGGATTGCGGTGTGGCCGTCCCCACAGGGGTAGGGGATGGAGGGTAGGGGAATGAGGGGTGATTTCTCGTAGTTTCTCTTTCCCCAGGAGCACAGGTGTAAAAATCTCTCCAAAAAAAAAAATAAATAAATAAACACTAATTGCTTAAAGAAAAACACCAGTCTCTGTTCCGGAAAGAAATCAGCAAAGAACGCCTGTGCTTTACTGAGAGATAGGAAGGCTCACTATACATCATAAAAACACTATTCCCACAGACAGGGACAGGAGGCAGCATCTTTCTATCAACAGACCAAAGCTGTCAATGTTGTAGGCAAGGCTCTCCCAGGCGCCCCGGAGACAATTCTGGAATAGGTAAAAATAGTCAGAATTCTGTCCTCACTCTCAAATATACTTCCCTTAAGTGGAAAATTGCTAGCAACCACCACACAAACGGACCTCCAGATCTGGCCACGCCTTTGGCTACCCCACGTGGAGGGAATAAGAGCGGAAGGATCCCAGCACTGGGCTGTAAAGGAAGGCCGACCTCAGCACCCAGTACCTCTGAAAGTCACCTCTGCACCGGTTTCCTAACCTGACGAGCTCCCGACAGCTGTGCGAGTGCAGAAGGGGGGCGGAAAGCATCTGGACCTCCATGATGCAAGCTAGCCTTGGCCAAAGCGTTCTCCCAGAGATCGGTTACTTGACCGCTCCACAACCAAGACGACCCCTGGAGGCCCTGCAGACCAGATGCTCCGTGAAGGAAACTCTCGTTTCCCGGACCCTCAGCCTGTCGGCCCTGCTGTACTCACGCGAGTGCTCCAGCTCCCGCGCCGCCTTGGCCGCACGTTCCAGGCCTGTCGGGTCGAAGTTGCTCCATTTGTCCTTGGGCCCCGGCCGGTCTCCCGCGCCGCGGTCCCCGCCGCCCTCGGCCCCAGGCTGCCCGGGCGGCAAAGGCAACGGCGGCCCCGCGCCCTCACCCCTGGGGCCCTTGTTGATGCCAAAGAGCCACGACATGACCCAGCCCGCCCGGAGCCGCCCGCCGAGACTGCAGCACCCCAAGTGTGACTCGCGCGGCTTGGAGTAGCCTCCACGCGCCGCAAGCCGGCGGCCAGGGCCACTGCGCAGGCGCTGCACACACCCCTTCCTCCCTGGCGACGGAAGCGCGCGAGGGCCACTTTCACCGCGTAGCCCTCAGATTGGCGGTGCGACCCATGACACCTTTGGCATCGGCTCGGCGATTGCTGGAGTGGGATCTGGAGGAGGGATGGAAGGCGGGCGCGGAGAGGAGCAGGGCGGGGCAAAGCGCCTCGTACGGCGGCCAGGCAGGGCCAAAATTACAGGGGGGCGTGTGCGCGCCCTGGTAACATCAGTGTTCCGTTTGGCAACCCCTACAGCGTTCTGTTGCTGTGGGCAACCAAAGAGCGTCAATCAAGGAAGTGAGAGCTGCAGGGGCGGATGGAGCTGCCGGCTCCTTGCAGGCGCGGTATCCAGCCGTCGCCGCAGTTTGTCTGGACGCAGGTAGGAAGATCCTGGGGGAGATGTCTGGTCCGCAGAGGGCAGTCTCGATCGCCACCCGGACGGATGTGAGGCGGGCGGGACAGAGCGCCAGGAGCATGCGGCGAGGCCTTGATCCCCAGAGCTGAGGTGGGTCAGGGCTGAGGCTCCGGGGCCACCCGTCGGTCTCGACTCAGCATTACTGAACGACGTGGGACCTCCCCTAGAACCTCGCCCTTCCTAGGCTGGGTGGGCGTGGGAGCCCTGACAGGATGAGGCTGCGCTCAGTAGGGCTCCGGCCTCGTGCACACGGTAGACGCTTAATAAGATGACGGAAGTAGGGGGCCAGCAGGTGGTGTGGTGGTTAAGGCGGTGGACTCCCACATAGCAGACCACTGTCCCCATCCCTGACCCTGCAGCTTGGAAATCGTCCCGGATACACGTGTCTGCATGCCCAAAATCCCCAGAGGAGAATGGAGAAGTGATTGCAACGGAGCCATCACTCCTAGGGGGGGACTTCTCACTTTCCCTCTCTTGTCTTTCTCCAGCAAGTACACACGCCCTATGGAAAAAAAAAAAAAACTTTAAAACAAACAAACAAAACCATGTATATAGCCAGTCCTAGGCCAGGCCAGGCTTCTGTGACCCTCCTTCAGAGGAAGGAGAGAACTGGAGATCCAGCTCTGCCTTTCTTCTTTGGCTCTTCTTCCTCTTTGGTGGTGTCTCTGAAAACAGATCACTTTCCCCTTTTCTTTGTCTCTGACAAGTACATGTTGTCTATAGCAAATTAAAAACAACAAAGGGTCAGCAGCTGGAGTGGTGGTTCGGGCAGCTGGATCCCACATAGCGGTTTGAGTCCCAGACCTGTCAGCTAGAGAATCACGCTGAGTGTGTGAATGCATGCTCAGAATCCCACAAGGAGAATGGAGAACGGATTGTGGCATGGCCATCCCTTCTAGGGGAATAATTTCTCACTCTGTCTCTGTCTCTCTAGTGATCACGCATACCATAAAAACTAAAAACAAAACAAAAACACACCGTGGTACATGTGTGTGTGTACCCAAAATCCCAGCAGAATGGAGAAATGAAAAAGGGATTGAAGCATGACCACGCTAGAGCATTGGGGTGTGCTTGCTTTTTCTTTCTGTTTCTGGTGAATGTACATGCCTTCTAGCAATTAAAAAAATATTTAAAAAGTAAGATCTTTTTTTTTTTTTTTGAGAGGTTTTTGCTATAGGGCGTGTGCACTCAACAGACAGAAAGACAGGAAAAGACAGAGATACAGAAAGTGAGAAATCACCCTCTGGGGGGATGGCCACGCCTCAATCCCTTCTCTTCCATTCTCCTCTTGGGATCTTGGGCACACATGCACACACACTCAGCATGAGTTTAAGCCACTGGGTCCTGGACTCGAACTGTGGTCGACGACATGGGAGTCCAGTGACATACCCATTACACTAACTGCTGGTCCCAAAAGTAAGATCTTAAAGGAGAAGCCATATAAGAAGACAGAAACAGCTTTCCTCTTTTTGTTTGTTTTTAGAGGGTTTTGCCTTAGGGCACATATGCTGACTAGAGAACTAGACAGAACAGTGAGAGGGAGAGTAAGAAATCGCCACCCAAGGGAGTGGCCACACTTCCTCTTCTCCTGGGATCTTGGGCGCTCATGCGTGCACACACACACACGCACACACGGGTGTGAGTTTCAAGCCATCAGGTCCAGGATTCAAACCGCAGTTGGCTCTGTGGGAGTTCAGTGATGTATCTGCTATGCCATCTCCCGGCCCCAGAAACACCTTTCCTAAAGGCACGGAGTGAATAGAAGAGAATCATATGATACTCTCTACCTGAAGCGTTTATGTTTATTTGTTTTAGAGATATTTTTGCTATAGGGCACGTGCACTCATTGCAGAGACAGAGACAGAAAGCAAGAAATCACCCCCCAGGAGGATGGCCACGCTGCAATCCCTTCTCCTCCAGTCTCCTCTTAGGATTTTGGGCACTCATGCACACATGCCCAGCATGAGTTTTAAGCTGCTGGGTCTTGGACTCAAACCATGGTCAGCCATGTGGAAGTCCAGCGACATAACCATTACACCATCTGCTGGTCCCAAGCATTTATGTTTAATTGATGTTCTCTGCTGCTTAAGCTGTGGTATTTTGTTGACAGGGCTCCCCTGATCCCCCCATCAGTGAGATTTTCTCCTCTGTGGGAGTCCTCCTGTATTGAAGATCTGGAAGAGAAACTGCAGAGCTGAAAGATGCAGGTGGTGGACAGCCAGGCCTCCAGCCTGACCTTGAACCCAGATAGCAGGGACACAGCTGCCCCCAGGATCTCAGGTCGGCAGGAGCAGGGCTCCCAAAGCAGTCCCCAGCACTGGGCAAAGCACCCTTGCTTCCCGAACATGGGCAGTCAGTATGGTTTCTGAGTCCTCCAAGTCTGATCACCTCTGGGGAACTGCACAGCACAACGGCACCATGGTCCTCTGGTATAGCCCGTGGCACCCAGCAGCTGGCCCCAGGGCTCCCCACATGAGGGATGCAGCGGACAACTACCCATCTGCATGGTGTCTTCCATGGACAATGTCTGTCCTCTTACACTTGGAACGCCCCAGTGATGGGCACAAGATCGCTACTACCCTTCCATGTCACAATTCAAGTTTGCTCTCCTAGGGTGGCTCAGCCTTCAGGAGTGAGAGGCTGTGGTCTCCCTCCCTCAGCCGGCCAGGACTGTCCTGCTCCCCTTCATTTCCTCCAGCTTCCAAAAAGACCCACAGGTTCTTGTCTCACTTGCAGTCACCCCAGCTGCAGCTTGTCTGCATACCTGCTCCATCTTGAGCTTGCTATGTACCCTGCTCCAGACCCTAGACAGGCCCTGGCCCAGCTGAAAGACAAGCTGTCCAACCTGGCCTTCCTGTATTTAAGCCTCCAGGATGGAGTTCTGGGGTGCAGTTCCCCACACTACCTACCACAGCAGGGCTCCCAAATCTCCGTAAGGTTCCTGCAACCCACCGCCCCCTGCAGGCTCCTCTCACAGTATGGGTGGTTAATGAGGGGTCATAAAAGTACCAGTGGCATGGCCAGGACTTTAGAGTGACCTTGGACTGTACCCATAGCCCATTAGCTCCTCCAGGCTTCCCCCATAGCAATGTAGCTTGTCTTCCTGCTCAGTGTTTGCGTTTTAAGTAAGCAGTTACTTGTGGTGGCCCCGTGTTCTGTCCTACACTCCCAAAGGACCTCCCTGCCTTGCTGCCCAACAGAGGAGTCAGCATGGTCAGTATCAATCCACAGATATGCACACTGCCAGGTTCATTTAGGGTCAGGGTTGGTCTTAATGCACTGCCTGCAGATGACAAGCGCCACATGTGAGTACTGGCCCCAACTGCAGGGCTGAGGTAGGATCTCCACCTTCCCAGGTGACAAGTCACAGGTGCACAGTCTGGGAAGTCACTCTAAACTTTATCACAGCTGGGGCGGGCAGGTGGTGCGGTGGTTAAGGGTGCTGGACTCCCACATGTAATCAAGTTAAATAAAATAATTCTTAAAAAAAAAAAGTTTACCACAGCCATTGTTGGCGCTTTCATGTTCCCCAGACACTCCAGGACGGGCTGTTAGTGGACACTGGGAAGAGTTCCCTGTGAGGAGGAGCAGGCCTCCAAGGCTGGGATATATTTCATGTTGAGGGGAGTCTGGCCTTGGGGCAGAGAGGTAGTGGGACAGTTGACAACAGCCCTAGGCCTGTGGTGAGCAGAGAAGCTCATGGCTTGCCCCTCCCCCGGGCATCACTGTCCTCTTTGCTGCATGCTCAGGCAGGTCACTGGCCACTCACCGATCTCCCCATGCTTGTCCCTACACCTGGTAGGGACCAGAGACTCTTTCTTCTTTCAAAAGCTAGCATACATGCTGTAATTCGTCATGGTGAGTTCACCTACATTTTATTTATTTATTTATTTATTTGGAGCGGTTTTTGCTATAGGGCGTGTGCGCTCACCAGAAAGACAGAGAAAGACCGAGAGACAGAAAGTGAGAAATCACTCTCTGGGGGGATGGCCATGCCACAATCCCTTCTCCTCCATTCTCCTCTCAGAATCTTGGGCACACACGCACATGCACCTGGTGTGAGTTTAAGCCACTATGCCCAGGACTTGAACCGCGGTTGACTACATGGGAGTCCAACGACATAGCCATTATGCCAACTGCTGGTTCCAAGTTCACCTACATTTCTGAAACATGGGCAGGTATTTGAAAATGTCGGTGAATAAAGGTTTCCTGTCCCTCTCCAAATGGCAGCTGGCAGCTGCTCTAGAGCTCTTGTCTAGGGCTAGGTCCACCTCCCCTCCAAGGGCAGGAACTCCCATGGCTCCTATGATGGGGTTTTCCTGGCACCCACCTTACCATACTCCTCAGGGGAGACTAACTTCCACTGGTTTCTTTTAGTTTTTGCTGTAGGTGTGTGCACTCGCAAGAGAGAGACAGAAAGAGGGGAAGTAAGAAATCACTTCCTAGGGAGGACAGCCAGTCAACA